CTTGCAGGATCCCTATTAGTCCTCTTTGTGTTTCTCCTAATAGGACCATGTCTGTTAAATTGCCTAAAGAAGTTCCTGCAAGATCAGATACACAAATTCACCAACCAGCCAGTCAATCAACTACTTCTTCAAGACTACCAGACCCCTTATGCTCAAGACGGAGACCTACGATTCATAACCAACTGTTCTGGCTCCAGAGACTCTGCCCCCACCTAAAACCCTCCCTGATCCTTTACAGGAATGAGATACTTCACCCCTAACCAGCAGAAAGTAGCCAGATGTAATTCAGATCCCTATATCATCAAAAAAAAAAAAAGCCAGGATATTAGGTCAGTTTGAGGTAGCTAAGGGAACAAAGCACCAGGCAACCCACACGTGCAAAAGAACAACCAATCAGGTGCTGACAGACAAGTAGTGAACCACCTGTCAATCAGTGGGGTCTCCTGACCAATCCTAGAATGACACGGATCTCATCAAGATCCCCTGACCAACCCCAGAAGGACAAGGGACTCTAAAAACCTCCCTTTCCTGTCCCAAGCCTTCCTTTCCTGTCCTAAACCCAATAAAATTCCAATCTATCTGAGCCTGTGCTTGACTCCCCTGAACCGGCTCTGTTGAACTGGAGGGTCTCGTCCAGGAGTGAGTCTCAATAAAGCCTTGTTCAGCAGCCTTTTAATCTGCCTCCTTTTGGTCATCGGTGCCTAACCTTACCCAGATGGTACATCTATATCAGTATTTAGCTATTTACACTGGTCTCAACTCATGAGCTCAACTGATCCTTCCCCCTCAGCCTCCTGAGTAGTAGAGAATATAGGTGTTCGCCTCCATACCTTGCTTTTCCTTGCAGAGAATGAGCATCATTCATTTAAGAGGCCCACTACAGCCACTGGCAGCCACCATTGCATTCACCAAATGCTGAGGGGAGCCCTCCCTATTGTACAGAGGAGAAGTAACTTGCCTACAGTCACGTAGCTTGCAGAGAGAGTGAGACCAAGTGGCTATTCAGGGACATTTGCACACTTGCCCCCAGCATTACCTATCAAGGTAGATAATGAGAAAAGGGCAAGGAATGGGGTTTTGGGTCATCTCTGCATGGTATGAACCAAGTCCTGCTGTGGCGCAGACACCCATCCCAAACAGCCCTGTGTTGTCCCCACTCAGGAGGTCACTCCTAAGTTGGGCAACAACCTACTCCCAAGACCCATCTTCACAGGACCTATTCCTGACAGGTCCTTCTCTCCCAGAGGCCAGGCCCAGGCAGGACCCCCAGAGGCAGCAGCACAATTCAGTGGACAACTAGACCATGACCCAGGATCTTCCCTTCTGGGAGCCTGTCTCCTGCTTGTGCCTCACTTTGCTCATCCTTAAACCAGGCCAGGCTGGTTCCTTTGGTTCTAATTTTTTGTTTTTGTTTTTGTTTTTTTACAAAAGTTCACATTCTTGTGTTTATCCTTTGGTTCAGCATTCCTAGCATACATTAGTCCTGTTTTGGGACCTTGATAAGCTAAACTGCCAGGGTGATGAGGTGTGCGGACAGTTGTCACCTTTGAGGGGAGGAACTAGAAAGCTGCCAAAGGGTGGTTTGGAGGTGCAGTCACCTCTGTCTCGTGACCTGGGAGCCATTGACCTGAGTGTGCTGGGTCAGCAAAACCCACAGGGAGCCTTACCCTTCCGGGCACTTCTCTAATCATCTATGTGGTAATTCAACCAAAAGTTGAGAATCAATCATTCATTGTGGACTTTTGACCTCTCAGGCATGGCTCCACGCACCCCTCACCTTCAAACAAAACCAAACTGGCAAGAAGACAAGACCAAGGGACGAGGGGTCTGCCCACCATGGCAAGACAGGCGGGGAAGCCAGGGCAATGGTGTCTGTGGGCCTGGAAGGCAGCGCCTGGGTGGCAGCCACACATGGGCCTTGCTTCAGGACACAGGGTGGGGCCCTGACAAGCCCCCAGGTTCCCCCCACAGGAAGAAGCAGAGTGGGCGGTGGGAGGAAGGAGGGAGGCACAGGCCTTGGGTCACAGAAGAAGGGAGAACCAGGAGGCATGGGCCATTATCACCTCTGTCTCGGGGAGAACTAGGGCAAGAAACCCTGAGGACAGTCCTGGGCTGCATAAGGACAGTTCACCCAAGGACGGCCACATAGAATGCACACGAAGGAGCTTGAAACCTCCTCTCACCCAGTGACACCACAGCCATGTTAACATCCTAGTGCAACACACTACATGTGTGTGGCGGTGATAGTGTAAATAAACCTACTGTGTGGCCAGTGGTATAAAAGTAGAGCACGTGCAATTATGTACAAGTACAGCATACTTGATGATAGTAAGGGACTGTGCTACTATTTAGCTACCCACTATACTTCACTTCTGATCATTAGAGTGTAGTCTCTTTATGGAAAAATATACAGGAAAGCAATACACCAGCAGCAGCCTGCACCATGCAACTCATGTTTACTTCATCTTTTGTTTCCCCCAAGAGGCAACATGGAGGTGGGTGCAGTGGCCCAAGTCTGCAATCCCAGAGACTTGGCAGGCTGAGGCAATAGGATCACATGTTCAAAGCCAAATTCAGCAACTTAGCAAGGTCCTAAGCAACTTAGTGAGAGACTGTTTCAAATTAAAATATAAGAAAGTGGCCAGGACAATTCTCAAGCACCCCTGGGTGAAATCCTCAGTACCAAAATAATTCTCACAACTACATGATTGTCCAATGATGCGCATCTAGGAAGAATTTAGGAAGATCTGGTGACCCATGACTACATTTTGTCTTTTTTGCCAGTTTGGTTTTGTTTGAAGTTGAGGAGTGTGTGGAGCCATGCCTGAGAGGCCAAAGGTTCACACTGAATAATTGATTATCAACTTTTGGTTGAATTACCACATAGATGATTAGAAAATTGCCCAGAAGGGTAAGGCTCCCTGAGGGTTTTGCTGACCCAGCACACTCAGGTCAATGGTGCCCAGGTCAGGAGACAGAGGTGACTGCACCTCCAAACCACCCTTTGGCAACTTTCTAGTTCCTCCCCTCAAGGGTGACAACTGTCCCCATACCTCATCACTCTGGCAGTTTAGCTTGTCAGGGTCCCAACTTGGACATCTCGTGGATGGGCAGGGAAGGGGCTGGACACTTGGTGGTAACTGGGGAGGTGGGGGCTCCCTGCTGAGCTCCTCAGACAGCACAGGGCAGGGTGCTGAGGGTCTCAGGGCAGGTGCCCCTCCCTGGGGCCTCAAGGGTGTGCCTCCGTCCCATAGCAGTCAAGATCCCTGGGTCTGTACACGACTTGGAGTCTCCTTGGAAGACCATGCGCAGAGGGGTACTGATGACCTCACTGCAGCAGTTGGCCATGAACTTGTTTCTGTAGATCAGGAAGTCTGGTGACAAGTGAGGGCAGCAGCAGGGAAAGGACCTGATGTCCAGGCCCAGAATGAGGCTCCTTCCACTCACTGGTTCCTACTCCATGTGGGGATACTCCAGCCTCAGGGGACTATGTGGTCAAATCTGGAGACAAGGTCGCTATGTGGGTCAAGGCCGAGGGAGGGGATGAATAGTGGATCCTGGCAGAGATGGTCAATTACAGCCACACCATGAACAATCGAGTGGACCCCCCACTCCCGCCTCAGCTGTACCTTGCTCAGCACACCCTCTCAGTTGACATTTTTCAGCCTGTCTGCACAGTGGGAAAAGAGTTTTCCCAGAGGACACCTGGGCAGGGAGCTGTGGGAGGCACTGGGCTCCTCAGGCCAATTTCCTACCCTCTATCTCCTTTCTCTTTCTGGCTCCCTGGCTTGCAGTGGGCACCTGGCTACACCCAGTGTCCTCCTTCCGGTCCCCCACAGGTATGAGGTAGATGACTTGATGAAGAAGGCAAAGAGTGAGTGTCCAGCTGGGAATGGGGTGGCCAGACTCCTGACAAGTGGACCCCCCTGGCCCTGGGCTAATTTGGTCTCCCCTCAGGACACACACCTTGAGCAACAGGTGCATCATCCCACAGCCCCAGTGGAAAGCCATCCCTGAGAAAGACCCCGAGGCCTTATCCAGAGGTCCAGCTCCTGTTGTCTTACATATCTGGACCACCTGCTTCTCCAGTGCCCTGATACATACAGTGTCCTGACCACAGACAGTAAGGCAGCCTCCACTGAGAGGCCCACTATGACACCAGGACCCCAGACAGGGCATGGGATCATCTTCTTCCCTTTTCTCCTCTCATGGCCTCACAACTTCAAGGACCTGCCTCTACCTGGTGAATCCCTCCTGCCCAGCCTGACCCTGAGCCTGCCTCCCCAGGGAGCAGGCTGTTCTGCCTGTCTGTCCTTCCTCATCTGGGCAGAGTAGCGCAAGCTGGGTGCACGTGCCCAGACCTCCTGACTCCTGCTTTCACCCCTCTTGCTGACGCCGACCCATGTGACCTGGGTCCCATGTAACCTAATTCAGGCTGAACACAATTCCCCCTGTACCAGCCTGTGACCCTCTGGGTTGTGTCTGATCTTCTTAACACAGAGGTCCTGAATGGCACCAGACACCTTGCTGTTCTAGCATGACCCTTGGGGATGGAGTCTCATCTCATCCTTCCTTCCCACTGCTCTTTGTCTTCTGCCCTAGGACACCTTCACTGAGGACCAGCTCTGGACAGCAGGGAGTAGGAAGGGGTCCTGGTCCTATCTGCACCCTACAGGCCCTGGATGTAAACTCCATCCTGTTTGAAGACACCTCCTATGCAGATGGCTGCTCCCCTCCACTCAGTGTAACCCAGAGGTATGTGGTGGCTTATAGGAAGTCCAAAAATAAGGGAAGTTGTCTGGGAGACTAGAGGGAGGAGGCAACAGAGCGTCTTACAGGATCCTCTTCTCTCATGTCCCTGGGCCATCCCTCTGCACACCCTCTTTCCCACCCAGGCAGGGCTGGTGAGCACCACAAGCTGCGGGGTCAAGGTCCCTACTTGGTCCCAATGGGATTTACTTTGTCTCAGTTTACTCCTGGATTCCAAGAGAGCCTCTTGATGGACACATCATGTTTTATTCCTGAGGTCATGGGTCAGGCTTGTGCCCATGCTCCCCCTGCAGTGGCTCCCCACGACACCACTCAGAGCTGCCAAAGGAAGTTGAACTTGCAGCCTGCCATCTTCTTAGCATAGTGGGCGTCAAAGCGCTCATTCTGGGCCACAGTGAAGACAAATTTCCAGTCCCCCACGATGCCTGGGGAGGGAAAGAAAGTGGCCTAGGTCCCACCCACACAGGTGGTCCCAGGTGGCTCAGGGCACGCTCTGGCAGTTGCTTCCACCCTCCCTTCTCCAGACACCCACCCTGGCCAGCACACACCTTTCCTCATGAAGGGAGAAACACTGTGGTCCATTATCTCAGTTGGTATGGTGGTGTAGTTAGCCATGGGATTCTTCTTCATCTCCTTGAAGGATGTGTGCTGGACGATGTGATCCACTGTCTCCTCTGACAGGGAGCGCCCCAGAAACTCCAGGATCTTTTTAATCTCCCTTTTGGGGTTCTGAAACAAGAGACAGGCTCATTAGAGGGGGCCTGGATTACTTACAGTGCAAACACAAGGGAAGTCCCCTCTCTGGTGTCACAAGCGGGGAGCTGGCCCCTTCCACTTGGAAACTTCCCAGCCCTAACTCTTCGCTCTGGGCCTCTTTCCCTGGAGCAAAAAGACTAGCTCTCAGCCTTAGGGTCCTGGAGTGAGCCCTGCTTGGTGCCTTAGGAGAGAGGACAGGGACAGTCTTCCTTTAGAACTGTGGTCCCAGGCATGGCACAGGCCCTGGCAGGAAGACATGAAAACAACAAACAGCTCATCTGTGACCACATGTGTAGCTGACCCAGGTGCTAGGAGATAAGGCCTGTGCTGGGTCCTGAGCTGAGCTGGCTCTGTGGCCAGGAATGGGAAGAGTGTGGGGAATCCTGGATTGGGTGGGCCTACCAATGGGGAGGGTCCTGAGGGCCTGGGCAGGTCCCCTGATGTTCCTGTCCCCCAGATAGGACATGCAGAGAAGTGTTAGAATGCAGTCTCACCTCCTTCAGCTCTTCATAGAAGAGGTAGAGCACAGGGTGGGTGCAGCTCAGCTCCCCCCACTCCAGCACATGCTGGTACCATGACCCAAAGGACACTGGGGAAGGAGTAAAGTCCAATTGGTATGAGTTTTAGGTGGGCTTCCTCAGCTCCATCCCTCTGCTTCCTCCATGTTGGGGCCCACCTTGTCCATCCATGAACTTCTCCAGGAAGTTGTCCCAAGTACCAGGTTCAGGGTGTCCCTTGGCCATTTTGTAGAAGTTGTAAAAGGAGACAGCCACGTCCTTTGCGTTGCGGGCAACATAGATCACCTACAGGGACAGACGACACCACTGCCAGCTACACCACCCCACGTGCACACCCCAGGACTGCCTGCCCTCCTGCCTGCCTGGCCCCCTCACAGCACCCATAGGGGGAGTTCCTTCTCGGCTTGACAAGGGAACACACTGAGGCCTTGAGGCTGACTTGCTGGAGACCTCAGGGATGGCTATGGCAGCTGGGATCTGAACTTAGATTTTTAAAAAATATTTTTTGTTGTAGATGGACACAATACCTTTATTTATTTATTTATTTATTTATTTATTTATTTATTTATTTATCTATTTATTTAAGTGGTGCTGAGAATCAAACCCAGTGCTTCACATGTGCTAGTCAAGTGCTCTACCACCCAGCCACAACCTCAGTCCCTGAACTCAGCTTTGATGTGAAAACCCTGGCTGGTCTCTGGAGCCTTACTTCATACTAATCTTACCCCCCTTGAATTACCCCACACACCCAGATGAGAACAAGGCAGGCAGAGGACCCTCCAGCTCCTCTGTGAGCCTCTGAGCCGCAGGGCTCCCCTGTCCTCAGGTCTGAACTGAAGAGTCTCACTCTCCTCATGTTTTGCCCACCACAGTGAGGACAGGTTGTCTTTCCACTTGAGTAGAGACAAAGCTGGAATGGCCTAGTGAGTCCCCTGCCACTCACCTTCACCTTCTGATCCAGAAAACTTTGGGGAAGCAGGGTCAGTTGCAAGTGTGTTCTGAGGAGCCGAGGGGCAGGTGTATCTTTCAAAATTTCTATACCTAAGGTGCAGGCAGGAGAAGATGTGATGAGGTGGAGCCCATTCCTCTAAGGTCACCTCCCCCAGAATCCTACCACTCACCTGTGGAAAGCCCTGGCCATTTCAACTCAAGGATAGGCACCCGTTCATAAATTGGGGCCCGGTGACACTTCTCTAGGCTACCACCCTGGTAGATCATTTCCATGATCTCAGTTACCCATGTGCTACCTGGAAAGAGAGAGAAACAGAAGTGACCAGAGTGGAGGGCCAGGCCCTGCTGATCAAGGTGGACCCTGCAGCCCCAATGGGCTCTCCTCACTTACCAGACTTGGGAAAGTTGCTGATGAGCACGTCATCAGGCCAGGCTTGGAAGCTCTGAATTGACTCCACCATCTCTCCAATGTACTTGATCAGCGGGACCCCCTTCACATTGACCAGCGGCTGGCGGTAGATATCCTGGACCCGCTCCATGCTGCCGAGTCAGGGACCAGCGCCTGGTGTGCTTCTCTGAGTCCCATCACAAAACAGCATTTGCTGGATGGTTGCTCTGAGATACTGAGGCTTCAGGAGGTCCTGTATTTGCCCAATCTCACTAAGCTAGTAAGTGGCAGCTGGATTAGAAGTCAGATCTATCCCCAGTGCAGTGGTTCACAGCTCAGGCTGCACCTGCTGCTCACCTGCAGAGCTTTCCAGGACCCCAGTGCCCTGGCACAGCCCAGAGCCATAGAAGCCATCTCTGGAGCTACAGTTCAGAAACAGTTGTGGAATCTTTCCAGAAAATCCTAGCAAGTACTTCAGCATATGAGAAATTCCTCCATTGTCTGTCTCCCTTATTTTGTTTGTTTTGTTTTGAAGGTTTATGGTACAAGGGATGGAACCCAGGGTTTCTACCTGCTAGCTAAGAGCTCTACCACGGAGACCACTGACTGTCCTTGCCCAGCCTGCCTGGCCTAATTGCTCGTTGGTCAGCTTGACATGAGACTTTGTGCTCATGTCACAGCCTACACTCCATGGGCTCCTCTCTGTGCTGAGTCCCTTCCAGAGCTCCAGGGGCCCTTTACATCCAGAAACACACTAGGCCAGCCTAAGCAGGAACCCCATTTGTCCAGTCCAGCTCCCTCTGGGCTTCAAGAGGAACATGACAATTGAGCAGGGGAACTTGCTGGGAAGCCACATTTGCATGTGAATGAGCAAAATTCTGATGACTCAGCAGAAGAGAAGAGGGAGACCCAGACCAGGCTGGATTTATCCTTTTGAGATGGGGGTGTCCTTGGGGAATGAACAGAAAGGGTAGTAGTCCCAGACAAGGGACCTGTTCAAGCATTAGGAGCACTTGGAAGACGTTGGAATCAGGAGCTGGGCAGGACAAGGGGGGTCTGGCCCAGCCACCCCAACTCTGGCATTCACCTGGCCTCTCAAGGTCCTGGTCTTGTGGGCATGCAGGAGGTATATGTAGGTGTGGAGTGGAGAGTGTGGCTCTGTTCTCTGAGCAGAGGTTTTAGGTCCAAAGTAGAAGGGATGAGGAGGCAGCACTGGAAATGGTGCCCTCAAAAAAGGGTAGGGTTTGAGGAGTGGGGATGTCACTGTGCCCCTGCTTCAGGCCCAGACACACACCTTTCATAAAACTCAACATATGGGTTTCACATAGAAAACCAAAGGAGTGAGATGAGGAGAAAGAGCCCAGGGGTCACATGTGTTCTCAGCTGTAATCTGGTTTCTGAAGTGCTCCCTACACGCATGCCTTCAGGAGAGGCAACACACAGCTTTTTCTAATGGACCATGTAAAAGAGGGAGAGCAGAGGGGAAAGATGGGGTGCAGGTCAGCTCACCTTTCTGCTGGCTCCAGGCAAGTGTCTGGACACCAAGGGCTCAGGCCAGAGCAGCCTCTGGTATTCTGGGATCTGCAGATTCTGAAAACCAGGGTAAATCCAGAGTGCTGAGTGGGCGGGGCCAAGGGACTGGGGGCAGAGCAGAGCAAGCAAGGCTGTTTTGAGGCAGCATGGGATGGGAAAGACAAGGATGCCAGAGCCTACTAGCCTTGGAGTAGACCCTGCTTCATGGCTCCTGTAGGACCTCAAGGAGCGTGGCTCACGGCTGGTGGAGCACAGCCCACAGGTGCTTTTCTTTCCCTGGGCTGAGGAGGCTGGACAGGAAGATTACAAGGTCATATGGAGGGAGAGCTCCCCACCTTCTCTGCCTTTATCTATCTGGATTACAATCAAATTCTAGCTGGACACTGAAAGTGGGAGTCTCCTGAGCCCCCCTAGAATAATGTGTCCTCAGCGCCAAGCTGGACAAAGCCAGGCAGAGGGGGCTTCCAGGCAGGGGAGAGGCTGGCCACATGTTTGGGCCAGTGGTCTCTCCTCCCATTTCTGTTCCCTTGACAGTGGCCTCCCTGCAGATACCATAAGTTTCCCTTGACACAAAACTTTTTTTGATTGCACTCAAATAAAAACTGTCCCATCTGTGGTGGAGGGGAGTGGTAAAGAAAAGTTGTAGGGCTGGGCATGGTGGCACACACCTGTAAAACGGTGGCTCGGGAGGCTGAGTCAGGAGGATTTCGAGTTCAAAGACAGCCTCAGCAACTTAGTGAGGCCCTAAGCAACTTAGCGAGATGCTGTCTCTACATGAAATATAAAAAGTTCTGGGGATGTGACTTAGTGGTTGAGTGCCCCTGGGTTCAGTACCCAGTACCAAAAATAAAAGATGTTGAGAAAAGTCACAGGGTCAGGGTTGGGGAGGCTGAGGTTTCCTGCATGTCTGTCCAGTATTCCTGTGGAGATAGGAGCATGGTCAAAGGCAGCCTAGGGGATGAATGTGGGTAGGGAGGGTGTGGCCAAAATAACCTCTCACCTCTTCTAGTTCCAAGCCATCTTCCTCAGTGCCCACCTGGCACAGCCAATTGACTCCCAAAGCAGTGAGTTCTCATAGCTGTCAAGGGTGCTCTTGGTAGCATATGATACAGAGTCAGTTTGTCAAGCTCCCTGCAGCCCTGGCTCTGGGTGCCAAGGATTCAGCTGCCCCAGCCTGGACTGGACCACTGGGCACCCTCTCTCCAGAGCTAGGCAAGACTAGAAAGAGGACAGCACTCACCTAGGACATTGGCCCTCAGGGGCAGAAGCTGCCCTGGCTCTTCCTCAGGAACTCCTCTGCCAGGCAGATCACATGAGTCTTTAGGGGACAGCCAGGATGTGGCAACACAGGGGACAGTCAGTGGTGGCAGATAAGGAAAGGATGGCAGGAAATATGTTATTTACACTTCCTGAGAGCTCAGTGGAAGCCAGGCCTCCAGGTTAATTCTGCATTGATTGAACCTCTGCCCTGAGGTGGACTCTATTCTAAAAGTGCAAACAAGAACTGCCCTCCTGGAATTGAGTGTGAAGAGTGGAATGTGGGAGACCAACCTCCCATGTGACTGAGTCCCTCCCTGGCTGGGCAATTGAGGCGTCAGGCAGCAGCCATGCTGCTAGACTGCCCTGCCCTTTTTGGGTTCCAGGGATGGTGTCTTCGTGTAGAGGCATGTCTCTCCACAACCCCAGGGATCCAATCACCTCACCTGTCCTTAAAACATTGCCCTCCTTGACCTTCATTGGACAGGATTTCCCCCAGAATTTAGAGTTCCCCAATAAAAGCCCATTCCAAAGTGTGTGCGCTCTCTCTCTCTCTCTCTCTCTCTCTCTCTCTCTCTCTCTCTCTCTTTCCTCTCATGTAGATCCAAGCTCCCCCACTGGGAAGGTTGAGGCAGAGAGCAAGAGGAGCCATCCCAGAGCTTGGGTTTAAAGCAAAATTGTGTGTCTATGTTTTATTTCTAACTCCCTGAGAATTTCCCTGAGTGACGTATTCAAACTGAAAAGTTTTTTTCTCAGCAAGAGAAACAATAAGAGAGGTAAATAGGGAGCCTACATCCTGGGAACAAATTTTTACCCCTCACACTTCAGATAGAGCTCTAATCTCCAGAGCACACAAAGAACTCAAAAAATTAAACAACAAGAAAACAACCCAATTCAACAAAAGGGCCAAGGATCTGAACAGACACTTCGCAGAGGAGGATATACAATCAGTCAACAAATACATGAAAAAATGCTCAACATCTCTAGCAATCAGAGAAATGCAAATTAAAACCACTCTAAGATACCATCTCACTCCAGTAAGAATGGCAGCCATTATGAAGTCAAACAACAACAAGTGCTGGTGAGGATGTGGGGAAAAGGGTACACTTGTACATTGCTGGTGGGACTGCAAATTGGTACAGCCAATTTGGAAAGCAGTATGGAGATTGCTTGGAAAGCTGGGAATGGAACCACCATTTGACCCAGCTATTCCCCTTCTCAGACTATACCCAAAAGACCTTAAAAGAGCATACTACAGGGACACAGCTACATCAATGTTCATAGCAGCACAATTCACAATAGCTAGACTGTGGAACCAACCCAGATGCCCTTCAATAGATGAATGGATAAAAAAAGTGGCATTTATACACAATGGAATATTACTCAGCACTAAAAATTAACAAAATCATGGCATTTGCAGGGAAATGGATGGCATTAGAGCAGATTATGCTAAGTGAAGCTAGCCAATCCCTAACAAACAAATGCCGAATGTCTTCTTTGATATAAAGGGGGCGACTCAAAACAGAGCAGGGAGGAAGAGCATGAGAAGATTACCATTAAACAGGGAGAGATGGGAGGGAATGACAGAGAAAAGGGGAATTGCATGGAAGATGGAAGGAGACCCTCATTGTTATGCAAAATTACATATAAGATGGTGTGAGGGGGAAGAAAAAAAGAGAGAGAGAGAAATGTGTTACAGTAGATGGGGGTAGAGAGAGGTGATGGGAGGGGAGGGGAGGGGAGGGGAGGATAGGAAGGGCAGCAGAATACAACAGACACTACTAGTATGGCTGTATGTATAAACATGGCTGTATAACCAATGTGATCCTGCAATCTGTACATGTGAAAAAATAAAAATTCATACCCCGTTTCAATCAAATGTATGATATGTCAAGATCATTGTAATGTTTTGAGCAACAAATAAAAAAATAAAAGAGAAAAAAATATTTATTGGGCCATGAAAATTTCTGTAGGGTCACGGAGGTAGCAGACAGTTTTCAGCCAAGGAAGTTAAAGATTAATAATGGGAAATTCAGTTTCAACAGATAAGGACATGTATTTGACTATATTGGAGACTATGATTAATCAGAAATGAAAACAAGTTTTTAAAAAAGCCAGCTATCACAGTTTTTAAAAACGGTTAGCAAGTTTTTGTGAACAGGAATTACCAGATTTATGTACTTAAAGAGATTAGGAAGAAAATTATATAAAGCCTGACTCTCTGCGGAATTATCTTAAAGTACAAAAGATAATATTCAGAAAGTTTGGAATGTGTCAGAAATATGCCTTTTTTGATGACTTAGATCAAAATCTGTGCCCCCCAGAGGATCTGCTGAAAGGGCTTCAAAGAGCCATCAAATC